CACATGACCTAAGGGAGACCCCCCTCAACCCAGGCGGCTGAGGTCCCTGCTACGCACAGGGAGGGCGATGAAGTCAAGGTGCCCAAACTAGGTCTGCTACATGAGTAATGTTGATAAATGTTGTTTTGTATCGTGGTATTGTACTGTTGTTGTGTTTTATTGTATCATTGTCATATTTGTTATATGCTAATGAGCTCTTGATGTGCAAGATAAATTCCCTTAGAGGCAATAAAGGTTAATTCAATTCAATTTCATTACCCAACACTGTACTCTTCAGTAATAAAACACAAAATGGAAAACAGTGAATAATAAAACCACTTAGGTGTGCCCCTGTAATGACTGTAATACAGATTACAGTTCAGTGGAAAGCGCAGAGCGAGACTGGAGTGTGAAACGGCCCTGGTGGAGACAGAAGGAACTTGATTCACTACTTGCTTCTTCTGCTTGTTACACAAACTCTCCTTCCCTAGAAGACTAGAGACGCATGGAGGGTTTTCATGTCAAGCTGAATTTGTGTAATGTGCAGGTTTTCCACCTTTTTCCTTCACTTCCCTCTCTGTGTGACTCTGACTCACCCCAGTCTGGGATCAGAGAGGGAGCAGCTCCTGCTGCTCCAGGACTCTTCCAGGTCCTCACTCAGCCTGACCGGACGGTGTCTTGGCCGTTCGCTTGCCTGCAGGGACAGGGGTGAGATCAGGGCTAGAAGATCTGAATGTGGGTGTGAAGGAGAGAAAACCTGAGGGGATCTGCTTCAAGTATTCATACTTGTCAATGGCACTGAGAATGTCCAGCCTCAGAATTAACCACGGCAGGCACAAGCGGATGTATTTGGAACTGGGAGACGAGGCACTTTTAACACAAAGGTTTATATGAAAACTTTTTAATACAATATACCAGTGATCTTATTCAAAAAAAGATTTAAAACATAATGAAACAGAAATAACAAATGACAAGAATAACTTGGTTGAAAACGGGGTTCAAGATGCAGCGACGCAGGCAAGTGAAAACGGCCCAAACAAGTCACGTGATTGCAGTTGCCTAAAAACTGAAACCACACCGCCGCCCCTGTGATATTATACTGTAAATTGTGCACAAGTATTTGTTTTAAAGTATATTTTTGTTTCCTTCAATATTTTTAAAAGTTTTTAAGGCTTCTGAACAAATGCACACTGTGAACGCTGTTGTGCAGAGGAGCAGGTGGCGGTACAGGGCGTTTCGCACAGAGCAGCGTGTAGGTGAACGTGTAGGGCGCACGCCTGGAGCAGGGTGCAGTACTGAACCCGTCAGGTTCCTGTGCATGCTCTGCCTAACCAGACTGCAGACATTTGTCTATTCGAATGGACACTGCTTTTCGTAATTTAATTTTATAATAAAAATGCTTTTCGAACATTTCATCATACCCCCCCCCTTGATATTGAATACACAAAGTGCGCTGTGTCGACTTCTTTTAATTTTCTAGCTGTTTTTAAAAAAAAAAGTGTTTTCCCTCAGCACAATGTATACTATCAGACCTCTGTGCGCCCCAGACGAACGACACGGGCATGAAGAGAAAGCGGAGGAGCGGCGGAGAGTTTCCAGCTCTAACGTGGTGGGACACAGGTCATGTGACGGCAGGGACCTACCATCAACCTCACGCAGGGTGCACCGGTAACAATAATTATAATAACACATACGTGTGACGCTACTGTTCGGTATTCTCATGACGCCATTGTTCAGTATTTTCACACGAAAAGCTTGAGGTTCTCGCCTTTTATAATCAGCGGTGTAAAATTCACAGAACGCGTGTTTGGCGGGAGGTATTTTCAGCCGGGACCCCCC